TATATATATATATATATATTACAGGTCCATCGGCACTGGGCACAGTGGGGCAGGGCACACGACTGCAAAGGGCACAGTGCAAGGCAGAGCGAGAGCGCGTTGATAAATCCCTACACCATCCACACACTTTCAGATCGTAGGTGCTAGTGAGCTCAAGTGTACTCAACAAGCATGGTTCGGGTCTGTGCAAGTTCAGGTCAGGTTCTGCTGTTAGCAGCTTGACAGGCCATCCCCGTCTTGCCTGTGAACGCTCGGAACAAGCTCCCAAATCAAGTAAAAGGTACCCTAAACCCTAAACTACAGTAGACTCCACTTCCGCCACCCTTAGCCCCCAACCCTTATCTCTACCCGGTCGCCTGCGTCTCCATCTTTACGCAAAGCCGCAAGCACAACTGCAGGGCCGTGTCTCCTGCCTCAGGTTAGAGGATTTGATTAGGAATTCGGGGATGAAGTAGTCATAGCCGACTCTTCAATGGTTAGCTATGAAGTAACGGCTCACAGCAAAAGGTGCCAAATCAGGGTTCTAGACCACGTGTTTCTGCTTCTGCTCGTCGGGCTCATCATGCTCATGCTGGTGACCACCGACTATACGTGCACCATCGACAGCAACATCGTCATCTTCATCATCATCATCATAATCCTCATCATCATCGTCATCACCATCATCGTCGTCGTCCTCATCATCATCATCATCACCATCATCATCATCATCATCGCCTCATCATCCTCATCCTCATCATCATCGTCATCATCATCGTCATCATCATCCTCATCATCCTCATCGTCATCATCATCATCATCATCATCATCATCATCCTCATCATCACCATCATCATCATAATAATCAGAATCATCCTCATCCGTCTGACAAGTGCAGCTGTTGGCGACTGCTATTATTGGTAGATTCCCCTAAACCCTAAACCCTAGTGCTTGACCGTTTCCGTCGCCGTCCGAGATGGTTCGTTGGCACAGTTGCAACTTTAGTCGTTGGTGCGGGAGCAGTCAGAGGCATTTACTTCAAGGTTGGTAGGTCGTGGTCACCGTGCGCCTCTGAAGCGTGCTAGCACTTGTACCCCTATGCAAAAATTAACGCCCATGGAGTGAGATCAAAGAACCATGGGCGGATGTGGATGTCTGGCCCATATTTAAACCCTCGAGTTTGATGAGCTTCGAGCCAGTACACCACCACCATGCATTGGGTGTTGGGTCTCTGTCAACTCGATGAGCTCTGACTGAACGCTTAAAGTCTTAAAGTCCATCCTCCGGGTAGCTTGTTTTTGGACTGCAAGGCAGCCTAACCTGAAACCCTAAACCCTCAACACCAAAAACCCTAACGTAGGGGCCTTAATAATTAGAATAGGGTTTTGGGGCCTACTATACTGTATCTATACTAATAAATAAGGAACCCCAAAATTTAAATAAAAACCCTAAACCCCAAACCGCGTTTTCTAGGCTTTGGGCCTGAGTGTATTTGAACCCTATGAACAAAAAACCCTAAAAACCCGACCTCTTCGCCGGAATCGGTCCAAACCTTGACCTTTCGCTGGAGCAACTCCTGGAAGCTCACGGAAGGGGGTCGAAACCGTGGCTGCGCTGTTGTGGTGGTTTAGGGTTTAGGGTTTAGGGTTTAGGGTTAGGGATTTAGGGTTTAGGGTTTAGAAAACGTAAAACTTGAAGCCCTAACCCACGCTCTCCGCTTCAATGCTCTAATGATGTAAAGAATCGCCTGCTCCATACATTCCCGACGCGACTATTCTGACTGCGAAAAACATGTAGTGTGGGATGTCGGTTTTGTCTGCACAGTCTTGAGGGTGCTTGTCGGACGAAAACTCAAAGCGACCTGCCCCAGCTCTGCGCGTCCTAGACCGGGCTTTCCGGACCGTTCCGACGAAGACCCGACCTATGCTCTCGAGTCGATATCACCACCATCTTCAGCAGGTGAAGGCAACGCACCCACACACAACAAACACGCACTTACTTCTATGTGTGCTGTCGGACAAACAGAACAAAATCACCTGCTTACTGCGTATGCCATGTATTATTATGTTCACCTGTATGCAAGCATAGACTCATGAATGCATGGACGGATGGAAGGAAAGAGGGGGGGAGGGAGGGATGTGCACATAAGGTAAAGAAACGAGAGGTCTGGGGTTAATGGGCCAATGGGGGTTGTCCCAACAAGGCGCACTTCCCTAAATCTATGCTGTGTAGCCGAACCTTATCACAGTCTACAGTGTTGTTCGCCGTACTTGGAGGATCATGGGACTTAGTAAGTAAGGTTATAGGTCCCCTAATTGGGGTTATAAGTATAGTTACCTTAATTGGGGTTATAAGTATAGTTACCTTAGTTATAACCCTACTTACTAAGTCCCATGATCCTTTAAGTAGGTGTACAACTTGAAGGTGCAGTTGCTCGGTTTACAAGGGCTGCAAATCAATGACCTACAGCTCAACATTCGTATAAGCGCAACCAAACACTTGCAGCACTACTCATCACTCACCACGAACCTTCAAACCCTAAACCCTAAACCCTAAACCCTAAACCAATCGCTCCTCGTTGGAGGCCTTGAACATCTCCTCGAGAAGAGCCGCGACCTTGACCAGGGAGCCGTCCACCCAAAGAGCCCGGTATCCTTTGGTTAAGAAGTATCCCGTCAATCGCCATAAGAAGCCATAGGTCAGCACACTTTCTAAACCCTAAACCCTAAACCCTCACTTTCAGGAGCTCTATGGAAACCACCTTGCTTGAGAGGCATTGGGCACTGTACAGCAGGCCCAGCCCCGAATCCCCAATGCCAATGCCCCAAAGCCCTAAAGCCTCAAACCCTAAACCCTAAAACTCTAAATCGTAAAACCCTAAACCCTAAAACCCTAAACCCTAAAACCCTAAACCCTAAAACCCTAAACCCTAAGACCCTAAAGCCTCAAACCCTAAAAGCCCCAAAGTCCGAAGTTGCACAACCCCCCAAAACCCTGAACCCCTACAACTTCAAACCCGAAAAGTCCAAACTCCAAGGCCCGAAACTGAACCCTGAAACCCCAAGGTCATAAGCCTTAGTTTAGGGCTTTAGGGTTTAGGGCTTTTAGGGTTTAGGGTTTAGGGTTTAGGGTTTAGGGTTTTAGGGTTCAGGGTTTTAGGGTAAACTCACTAACAGCTTCTTCTCTTGTGAGCGGCCTCCGGGTGAGACGGGGGCAGCTCATCGCGAATTTTCGTCTTGGCCTCCTCAAGGCGCACCAGTGTGAGATGGGTTTAGGGTTTAGGGTTTAGGGTTTAGGGTTGAGGGTCGATAGTCTGAGGTGAAGTATGGGGGCCTGAACAATTAGCATAGGGATTGGGGACCTATGATACTTTAGCTATCACGCAACTATAATAAAGGAATGCTATATCTAGTTTTCGGGGCATCCAAATCGGGGTGCTCAACGAGTTCCGTTAATTCAAGGTTCTATCGCTAAGGGCAGGACAAGGGTTCGCAGGTTTCAGGGCGGTTTAAATTAGGGCTGTAGGGATTTACGGTTTAGGGTTATATAGAAGCACTTCAGCAGATTTTGTATGGTATTCGCCATGGAGCTGTTCTGGGGGGTCTACTGTTTCTGCTTCTCTAAGTTCTCAAACCTGTGTGGCTCCGGAGTTTAATCTAGACATGGTTTTATACGGAAGTGCATATGTCAGGCTTCATTAGGCTATTGGTTCTTAAGCTTCAGGTAAACCGCTGATGAATAAACCCGGGTCCCTCAATAAACGTTCCGAAAAGGATGTCATGATGAAGGCCCCTAAAGAAAGAGAGCGACAGGCCCCAGGGTGTTGGAATATTGTGTTTTTTGTCTTGTATAGAATTCTGCTATGCTCGCATGCAATAGTTGCGCGCTATTGCACAAAGGTGTAGCATTACGCTATGTGCGTACATGCACATACACATGAATGCACAAGGATGTGCATTGTTACGTTTACACGTGCACGCCTACATCGTACATGTGCTGCTTGTGTGTTTGCACTTCCACGGTATGCTCTACTACCACAGTATCAAGTACACAACACCTATGCCGCCACCTCCAAACACAACGAAGAAGTATATGAAAGTAATTACTGCAAATATTGTTCCAGCTTCTTCTGTAACTCTAAAATTCGAAAACCCTGTAACCTCGGGTATTTCGGGCGCGAAGCCGACTTGCAGTGTTCTGATCCCCTTATGTATTGACTGGGTGAAGTTCTGCGTGTGTGTGTATATATATTCCGTTTCGACTTTGTTGTAGACTTGTTTATGAGGGGCCTCACAGCAATACACAGCCATATGTTCATGGCAGCCCCTTTTGTAAAAAAGGGGCGTCTTCAACTCGTGGGTCTACAGTAAGGCATTACGGAACTTGGCGGTTCGGGATGTAGAGCGATGTCACGCGGTAGAGCCCCCTGAAGGAACATCCAGCTAATGCAGAGCCTATGCAATGGCATGGCACACCTAGGAACCAAGTTCTAAAACCCTACATGCCCCTAAACCCTAAACCCTAAACCCTGCCCTACATGCTGAAGCACTGCAGCCATGCTCAAAGCACCACAGCTAGTTTCAAGTCGCACCACATAAGCTAGTTTGAGTACAAAGGACCCTGATTTCGAGCTCAAAAAAATCACATGCTTTTAATTTAATCATGACCTTGAAAAAGGGAGTGCTGAGTTTTCAGAAACGAGATCTTCCTTGTGCCTGAACAAGCGAAACCCGGCCCTGCCCACGGAAACCCTTCTGGACATTTTTCCCTGAATGGTGGTGGGAGTCCAGAACACAAAGTCCAGACAATACATCACGACAACTAGGGAGGCGTACGCATCCTTCCGGCACCTAACACACTCGCCAGGTCTAGTAGCACATGACCCCCGCGCCCCCCCGCGAAAGCATTTTTCAGGGTTGTGGAAGGTGGGACAATCGAAAATGGGCCGGGGTCCAACCAAGACAGTTCAAGTCTACACACGACGTGCCCGACAATCCAAGCTGATACTTACATTGAACACATCAAGCAAGACATGTCTCGCCCACACGACGTGCTTGTCCCTATGAGCACAGTTGCTGCAATGCATGCACACAGTTCCCAAACACCCAGCCGTGAAGTGCAGTACGCTCAGATCTCACTGCGATGCACGTCGAAACCCTAAACCCTAAACCCGTCAATGCGCACAACACCGTTTGGATAGTCGGCCTGCGTCCAGAAGCCAAACCCAGTGGCTCGGGCCAGCTCTATCCACAGTTGAGCCTCTTCTTCGGCGCTGGCAGGGATTTAGGGTTTAGGGTTTAGGGTTTAGGGATTTGGCATTAATCGACTCTATTGTATCAGACTAGATTAGACTAGACTACTGAACTATACTGTACTAGAAATATACATGGCCGGAGTTGTGATGTCTTGTGAGGTTTAGGGTTTAGGGGTTTAGGGTGGAGGGATTACGTTTTCCTATGGTTTCTGCAGATTGTTGGCTTTCTATCAGGTTTCACAAGACTGTTTACAAGGTGTTTGAGGTTTGGAGTTCAAGATCCAATGACTGATCCCCCTTTAGGGCTTAGGGTTTAGGGTTCTACACACACACACACACACATCTTCTTTTTCTTCTTCTTTTTCCTCTTCTTCCTCTTCAAACACTCATGTCTATGTGGTTCGACGTTGATTCCGAAAAATCTATCCTTTTAGGATGATCCCGAAGTACGACCGTGCAGAAACCGAGTAGCGATGTTTCTGGTTTTTGTGGGCTTGGGGTTTGGTGCCAGTAGGGTTTCAGGCCTTGGGTTTTTGTTCTTCGGTTTAACGTAAATTAGCTTTTAGATGCCGGGCTATATTAGTTCTGATGCAAGACAACCATCTTCAGGAAGCACCCTTCTGGATCGTCACACTGTATGGTAGCATTTCCCGGAATCTGCGAACGATTTCCTAACCTTCAGGAATGCTAGTTAGCCAGTGTATAAAAAACTCGCAAGACACTTGGGGAGACGTGCCTTCCAAATCAGGGCTACTTTGAGGCTCATGGGTAGTTGTTCAGTGCAGTCCTAAGTCATAAGTCCGTAAATATGGGATATAGCTATAGTTACCCTACATATAACCACCACGTACAACTACAACTGCCCATGCACCTCCTAGCAAACTCTAAACCTCATTGCCCTAAACCTTTGGCCCTTGCACCCCAAACCCCCTACACCCTAAACCCTAAACCCTCAAGACTAAACCAAGAAAACACTACGTAATTCGGCTCCAGCCCTGGCCAAAACTGTCGGCTAAGACTGAGAGACCCGCCCCCCCTGCGATTTCCATAACCAACTAGGACTACGGTTTAGGGTTTAGGTTTAGGGTTTAGGGTTTAGGGTTTAGGGTTTAGGGTTTAGGGTTTAGGGTTTAGGGGTTAGGGTTCAGGCCCCCATGCAAGTTTCCATAACCAACTAGGCCTCACACTGAACCGTGAAGCCCAAACTTTAAAGTTTAGCCTAAGCCCTAAAGCAGAATTTAGGGTTTAGGGTTTAGGGTTTAGGGTTTAGGGTTTAGGAACCCTCGTAAACATGAAGAACAACCCTACAACCCACCAGAAGCCTCCACTTTCTTCCGCCAGGTGCGCTTCGAACTGCCGAGCTGTTCGATCGCCGACCCAGCGCAGCCAGCTCGCCCCTCTCTTGATTTAGGGTTTTAAGGTTTGGGGGTTTAGGGTTTGGGGCTTCATATAGAGGCCTCAATAGCTAGAACAGGGGCTTTGGGCTATCTTACAAAAAGGGCAGGAAGAACAGTTTGAGGAACTTGTCCGAGGCTTAATGGGGTTTCCTCTAAGGCTTCCTTTTTAGGTTTCCCTTACGAATCTGGAACGGTTTAGGGTTTAGGGTCTAGGGTTTAGGGGGGTGTGGGATTTAAGATTGGACGCTCAAGGGCGGTTAAAGCTAAAATTGTAGTTCCATGCCTTATGTAGTGGGAGGGTATGAAGTAGCTATTGCTTTGGTTACCCTACCTATGACACTAAACCCTAAACCCTAAACCCTAAACCCTAAACCCTACCTATGAACCTACTTATCAAGTGCCCTGATCTTGCAAGTGCGCTTCAAGGGCTTTGGGTAGGACCCAGTGCCTTTGGAGGATTCGGGCCTGGACCTTAGAGGCTGCGTGCATAGGTTTAGGGTTTAGGGTTTAGGGTTTAGGGTTTAGGGTTTAGGGTTAGGAGTAGACGGGATAAGAGCAGACTTGTAGGGAACAGGGGCTTGGGGTTGAGGTTTAGGATTTTAGGATTTAGGGTTTCGGGGTACATAGCGCTTAGCTTCACAGTTTGGATCGGGCTTCGGGTCAAGAGAAATTCGCCCGAACCCCTTGCTTAAGGAATCTGCCTTGGGTTTTGGGTTTTGGGTCCCCTTAGTTAAAGGAACATGCCTACTAAACCCTAAACCCTAAATCCTAAACCCTAAACCCTAAACCCTAAACCCTAAACTACGGGTCTCTGGTGTGGGACGGAGGGTCTGGCAGTTTCTATGATTCCCTCTGGCATACTATGGGAGCCTAAAGAAGGGGGGGGGGCTATAAAGGATAATAAAATCCCAAGCCCGATTCTAATTCTTAAGGCTTCTACATTCGGACAAACCTGACCTCCGACGATGCATCCGAAGAATAGAATAATATTGAATTGAAGGAAGACGGCCCCAAAGCGAACGCATTAACATCTAGATCCTAAGCCCCACTTTTTGCAGTAATTAAACCCTAAACCCTAAACCCCTAAACCCGAAACCCCAAGCCCGAAAGCCCTAAACCCTAAACCCTAAAGCCCTAAACCCTAAACCCACATAAGCTCAGGAAGATCATCAGTCCCAAACTTTAGTTTGGGAGTATACCCATAGGCCCTAAAGTGTTTCCTTTTGGAGCTTCATACATAGAACCCTATAAGGTAATCCCCAAAAGGAACTACTATGGGGCCTATGGGTAAGTTCGAGGGTCCCTGTGAGGTGGACAGGCCCGCCTATCCATCTACATACCTCTACACTCAATACATATACATAACTGAATACAATAGTTATACATTAATATATATATATATATATGTGCATCTACACATACATATAACAATAATTTTACATATACATAATTTCACGTTATACGCGTGTGTATGTGTATTTGCATGGCTATGTGTCTGTGCCTGTGCATGTGCATTTACTCAAATCTATCTTCAAACCCCAAAGACAGAACACCCTAAACTCCAAACCCTAAATTGCCTGCTTGAAGACACTGTCTCTTTGAGGCCTCACCCATGTCGAAGTGGGCACATCGCTTCAAGAGCTCTGCGCGGGCCTCTGCAAACGAGGGCAAGAGTGCAGGTAGTTTCTACAAGGGCTGAATAGGCATTCACAGGGCCAAAGGGTTTCTGCCGGGGGTTCAGATGGCTTAGGGGTTCAGCATTAACCTCAGGGAGCTAGGGTTTTCGTGTTGGGGTTTGGGGTTCAGGGCTCAAGAAGATGCGGAAGAAAAACCACTAGGTTTATGCGGTTGGCAGCGTCCTTCAGGAATTCTTGCAGTGTTTCGGCTTCATGGTGAACTACCAGGAGGACTGTAGNNCTACAGTCCTCCTGGTAGTTCACCATATACCAAGTATCGAGGGCTCCGGCAAGCCCGAAACTATGAAATCTACTCAATACCTAAGTCCCCGAAGCCTCTTCCTTCATTATAGGATTTAGGGTTTAGGGTAAGGGTTTGGGTTATAGGACTAGGGATGTGAACATTCAAAAACGCAAATCTAGACATGGAATACTTATTGTCTGCAGAGCCCAACGCCAAAAAAACAGAGTCGGTGCATCCCCGGATTCCGCAGCGCACAAACAGTCACGGCGCCGATTTAGGGTTTTAGGGTTTAGGGTTTGTTGCTTCCACTGCTACCCCTTCCCCTTCACCACCTGCACTGCCGCTTCTATTACTGCTGTTTCTTCATTCTCTTCTACTCGTAGTACTCAATATATAGCAGCTGTAGTCGCGGTATCCTACTAGCTGTAGTATCAGCAACACCAGCAGCAGTAATATTTTGTTGGCACGAAGCCGTGCTTACGGGTTTAGGGTTGGAGAGATAGCAGCCAGGGGCACTGTCGATTGAAGCTCACGGTCGGTACAAGTTGCAGATACCGAGGGTCCCAAAGCGGCGAACTCAGGCGCGAAGTGCAGGGGGAGGGATTCGGGTTTAGGGTTAAACCCCAAATTACCCTACACCCCTACACCCCAACCCTAAACCCTAAACCCCTAAAGCCCTAAACCCTAAACCCCCAAACCCTAAACCCTAAACCCCTCAACCGATGGGCAGACACCGACCGTAGACCCAGCCTTCAGGCAGAGATGCGTGTAGCCATCCCGAAGATCGAAGATGCCGCGGTCGTGGCAAGCTTGCCGATAAATCAGCCGCTCCTGACTTTACGGGTTTAGGGTTAGAGGGCTTTATAGTTCAGGGATTTTTAGGGCTTAGGGGGTTTTGGGGTTTAGGAGGCTGCAAGGGGAGACGTGCAGATGTCTCCGCGAGATATATAGATAGCTTACTTCGAAGGAAATTTTGAGTGTTTGGAGGTGCACGGTTTCGGGCTAGACCACTCACTCAGCCCCAGACCCGTAATATAGGGGCCTTAAAAAGTATATCATAATTATAAGAATGGAGCCCCGCAAAATAATATAGGTATGTATTAAGGCCCCTATATTAACATTCCGTAATTCAAAAACTGCCGTCCTCAGGAATTTACTCTACAACCCTTGGCCACGCGCTCTGGTCCCTGACCCTGGGCCATAAACCTCTCACATCGAAAACTAAAAATACATAAACCTCCTCTTGCAAATGTTGGGGTTTCGGGATTATGTAATCAAAAATGATCCATTGTCGGCCGGCTCGTCCCTATAATCGTGGGTTCTTGGAACCTAGGCGTCTCAACTGTAGAAGTCCTCGGAAACAGGACCCCACCCCTTTTGTAGGGTCCCCTAGTCATTGAAACTCACGTATACCATGGAGGCACTCTAAGCCTGAAACCGATAAGCCCTAACAAACCCCAAAAACCAAAGCCTCAGACCCTAAACCCTAAACCCTAAACAATGCTCCCTAAACCCTGCAAAGCGTATGCTCGACCTCGGAAGTGTGCTCCACAACTTCCTCGTGCTCTTGCACGCGGATGCGCTCCACAAGGTCGGAAGTGTTCTGCCTGCTGGTTTAGGGTTTTGGGGTTTTAGGGGTTTAGGGGTTTAGGGTTTAGGGTTTAGGGTTTAGAGTTTAGGGGTTTATTTAGGGTTTAGGGTTTGCGTGTACGGTCGTCTTAGCGTTCCTCGCCTCGTTCTGCAAGGGCTCTACAAGGGCTGTATAACAGGGTGTTATGTAGGGGCCTCAATACTTAGAGTAGGGTTTCGGGTATACTATACTGTACTTATAATAAGGTAATTATTTAGGCCCCTATAACCCGAAACCCCAGACCCCATATAAGGCCTCGTGTTGTTCTCGCGTTAGGTAGCGGCCCAGTCGTTCCGGGGTGCGCAACTCACAAGGGTTTAGGGTTTTTGTTTTAGGGTTTAGGGTTTTTCGTTTTAGGGTTTAAGGGTTTTTTGTTTTAGGGTTTAGGGGCGGGCCCCTCAGACGGGTACTGATGCGCTAAACAACTGCTCGCGATAAGATTGTAGTGCTATTGCTGCTCTTAGCTGCTATGATCATGACGGTCAAGTTGCATGCCGTACTGATCATCACGACGGAGAAGAGCCGGATATTAAGATGTGGTTGCAACGGATGATAGCACCGGATGGTCTCGAGGAAAAGGAGATGATAAGGAACAGCAGGGCGACGATGACAAGTGCTACTCTGCTGATGACTTTGGTGCAGGTGATCGCCGTCACGGGCATGACAGCCGTGAAGGAACCTGTGACGACGATCAACGTCGCGCACAGACTGATATTGATACGATCCAGCAGCCACTCTCGCCAATTCTTTCCAGCACAACGCTACCCGCGACAATCCCCAGTACCAAAGGATCTCTTGTCCTCCTACTCAAACGCCTGCCTCCCCCTGAACTCCGTTTAAATCCCTCAGGAATTCATCAAGCTGTCGGAACCCCTCAAACCCTGGCGAAAGCCGTAAACAAACCCTGACACAAATTACGTAATCACAGGAAGCAACAGAGAGCCCAGCGCTCCTGATGTACTTGTCGACAAATTTCTGGGCATCCGCATTCAGACGGCGGACCGCTCGCGGATCCCGAAACCACCTGCACGGGACTCCGTGGTCCGGGTCTATAAGGATTTGGGATCCTTAATGGGTTCTATACGGCTCTACAGGCGGTACAAGGGTTTAGGGCAAACGGTTTAGGGTTTAAGGGCCTACGGATTAAAGTTTCGGGATTTAGGGCTTGGGCTCTTGAAGGCTTTACTTAGGGTTTAGGCTTCGTTTGAGGGCATAGACTATATAAGGGCTCTATACTACAGGATATATTCGGGAACCCCCGGGAATACGATTACCAATTGTTCTTGCCCCTATATTGGGATTCGGTGCTTTAGGGTCTTAAGGGCTTCGGGTGTTTAGGCTCGGGCACGCACTCCAGATAGCCCTTCATAGCGCTGCCCAACATTATCGTCCTCACACTCTAAACCCTCAAACCTACAAACCCTAAACCCTGGCTGTCACTAGCCGGCCCACTAATGTGGGGGCCTGAACAGTTAGACTGCGGCTTTGGGGCCCAACAATCATTATAATAAGGAGCCCCCAAAATAGTATTGGTAATTCTTTAGGCCACAATAGTACCCGACAACCGTTCCAAAGCTGACCCTTTAACTCACCCCGGGTTTAGGGTTTGGGGGTATAGGGTTTCTGAGATCCCGCGGGCTACATCAGGTCAAGCTGGAGCACCAGCACAAAACACATGCCCCTTAAAACGGCCCGATTTGCATGCTTGTTATCTGCCATAACTATGCTTACATACATTTAGATACTCCAAACCCCAACTTCCCTAAATTCTCAATGCCCTAACTACCTTACTTGCCGTGGCCGGAGACAGTCTAAACAACCCAACCTCGAGATGGCTAGGCTGCTGACTCCTCATTGCGACGAACCCCGTCTCGAAGCGATCGTTTGGCCCGTCATGGCTTTAGGCCTACCAAACTCTTGCAACAACCGTGGAAAACAACCGATGATGCGAAAAATGGAGGACTTAGCAATAGCCAGTGTGCCGGCAAACGAGAACCACTATGGAGGGCAAGATCGACGTGCAATCTTGGTACCTGGTAATCTTGCGTTGTGCATCTTCGGGCATTTTTTTGGGGGAGCAAGATAACCGGTCATCTTGGTCACCTTGGTCAGCCTGACCACTTACCACTTGCACCACTTGAGGGGGGGCAGTCATCTTGGTCATGTTGTTCACCCAAGATGAACCAGATTTTGTACAACACTAGTGGTTCTTGATTGCCGGCACAATGCACTATTCCTTCAGGCACAATGAACCTGAAAGCACTATTACAAGCCCCTGGCTCACATGACACCAAACCCTAAACCCTTCTACCAGGAGGGCCTGAATCCGAAACCTTAAACCGCCCGGATTCCACCTTAAAGCCTCGCCACCCTGCTTCTTCGTGAAGTGGTTGAACCACAATGCCTTCCGGTGCCAGGGGTTGCTTAGGGCTTCGGGACCCTAAACCCTAAACCCTAAACCCTAAACCCTAAACCCAATCGGGCTTCAGGGTTCAGGGACTTGGGGACTTGGGGTTTGGGTTCAGGGTTTCGCGTTGAGGGACTTGGGGTTTGGGTTTAGGGCTTCGCGTTTAGGGACTTGGGGTTTGGGTTTAGGGTTTCGGGTTTAGGAACCTGGGGTTTGGGTTTCAAGGGGTTAGGGGCTTGCGTGGGCGTAATCAGGGAAGTTTTTCTTTTGTACTGTTGCGGCAACCCTAAACCCTAAACCCTAAACCCTAAACCCTAAACCCTAAACCAACAGATTTACAAAAGGTTCCATCGCGTATGTTGTCGTCGGGTGTATAGGGCGTAGACTTTGCGGCTGAAGGGGTTTAGGGTTTAAGGTTTAGGGTTTAGGGTTTAGGGAATCCTCCCATCTAGAGATGTAATTGAAGTGCTCCGCAGGGTACCAACACGGGTTCCGGGCGGTTTCAACAAAACAGAGGGCCTTGTTTTCGGGGACCCACAATCGATGCAGGGAAGGACCGAGCTTGGGGTGTGGAGCTTCCGGAGAACTCAAGATCCAGCTACTGCACTCAAATGCGCCTTACGAACAAATGGAGAGTAATGAGGAGAGAAACGAACTTTAGGGTTTTCTTGGGAAGTGGCCCCTTAAGCCTAAACCCTAAACTCCTGAACAGTGGCACCAAACCCTAAACCCTAAACCGGGCAACCCTAAACCCTAAACCCTAAACCGGGCAACCTTAAACCCTAAGCCCTAAACCCGCCTTGGACATGGGGTGCTTCGACTCGTCTTCCGAAGCCTCGATGTAGTTCAGGAGTCCCGCGAGCTCGGCCACAGCTGCGCCGGTCTCCATGGGAGGCGTGCCAGACAAACCCCACCTGCTCGGGAGAAAGCGCAAACAAGCTTAGGGTTTAGGGTTCAGGGTTTAGGGTTTAGGCAGATTTTGAGGCATTCATTCTTGCTTACATAAAGGGACTGCGGCGCCTGCTATCACTACTCTGGATCCTTGACAAACTACAACACGCCACAACAACCCTTTCTGTAATTCTTAGAATAGGGCCGACTAGGAACTGGGGTTGTTTGATTTTTTTTCGAAGCCCTCCAAGCCCTGCCAGCCTGAAGACCAAACTCGAATCTTAGCCCCACAAATCCCTAAACCAAGAGCCACCTCAGCCCTGAGCCATTTTAAAGTCGTTGGAAGTTTTAGGGTTCGGGGTTGGTTTAGGTTTAGGGTTATGTAGACACGTGGGGCCCAACATAGACTCTGAATAGTATGATCTGGCACCCCTGATTTGCAGAAATCGCTACTTGAACCCTGTTCCTCAACGCCAGAGCCTTTGACCCGAAACTCCAGCATGGAAGCCTGAACAAGTACTAAGTATAGTATGATACATCGCAAAAATCTATGTAATCAGGGACCCTAAACCCTAAATCCTAAATCCCAAAACCCCTAAACCCTAAAGCCTAATTCCCCCAAATTTTCCTTTTCAGAAGCCCCCCACTTGTGGTCCGCTTTGATTCCCCGGAGCATCTCCCGGACACGATACTCCCAGGCTTCGCTTTCGTGAAACTCGTCGAGAATAACCCGCCGCCAGGAAACCTAAGTGTTGAGGGATTCAGCCTGTAGAATGGGGTTTAGGGTTTCGGGTTTAGGGTTAGAGGGTTTCAGCCGTTAGAATGGCTTTATATAGGGGCCATAATAATTAGAATGAGGTTTTGGGGCCCATTATATTAGAATTATAATGAGGAACCCCCCAAAATAGTATGGGTAATCATGTAGGTCCCTATATTTGCCTTTTTGTGGTTTGGAGTTTAGGTTTATGATTGTAGGCCTTAACAGTTAAATAGCTCAGGTAGGGTGCAGAGACCCTAAACCCTAAACCCTAAGCCCTAAACCCTAAACCCTAAACCGATCGCCGGGACACGATCTCAAAGAGCGCCGGGGATCGCTTCAGAAGCATGTCGAAGCTCCGCGCATCCTCTGGGTTTAGGGTTTAGGGTTTAGGGTTTATTGTTTAGGGTTAAGGGTTTAGGTATCAGAGCAATATGGCACCGGGAAGGACCGTCTTCCTCATAGTCGTTTACAAAGTCTACGACACGATATGATACGATCATCTATACCCCCCACATCCGAAACTAAAACCATCAACTCTAAACCCTAAAACTTGCCGACCTTGCCCGTGCTAATGCAACCGAGCATGCGAAAGCACCAATTTTCTTCATCCTTCGATCCGACAGCAACGACTTCACCCGAAGCCAGTAACACAGAGTGCTCCTTAACAGGGTCTGGATCTACGCTAGGGTTCCATAACATAGGGCCCCTAAAAATTGGAACAGGGTCTCGGAGAATATTATTGCAAAGTTCGCAAGGAAACCTGCGAAAAAATATAAGAAATGTCTCAGACGTCCATACTAACCCCGAACTCGGAAACCTGAAATCCAAACTCCAGCCCTACACCCCAAACCCCTAAACCCTAAACCCTTAACATGTCGAAGTGGGAACAACGTCCTCAGACCACCACTGCACCATCTCGCGGAGAGCCTCAACCTGTCCAACGAAAACAAGCAGTAGTAGCACTCATAAGAGCCATCTGACTACAAACTGCTAACCGAGTAGTAGTAGTAGTAGTAGTAGTAGTAGTAGTAGTAGCAGCAGAAGTAGCAGCAGTAGTAGTAGTAGTAGTAGTAGCAGCAGCAGCAGCAGTAGTGGTAGTAGTAGTCGTCGTCGTGGTGGTGGTGGTGGCGGTGGCAGTGGTGGCGGTGGTGGTGGTGGTGGTGGTTTTTGCGGTTGTTTTGCATGTAGCACTGAACAGTGTACGTGGTCGCAGATGTAGTGCCAGTAGTAGCCGTAGCAGCTCCACAAAAATGTGGATAACAGCGATAACTCAGACCGAGCAACAACCACCAACGACGACGGCCACAACTACAAGAGCAACAAATGTTCAATTAGCGATCACCGCCAACAAGAAAAGAGCTATAAAGCCTTTAAGCCAGGAAGACTCACATTCCTGTTTCAAGCCAAGGGCAAAAGTTACTCGTAACTCCACTTAACCCCTAAACCCTCTCAATCTCCAGCCCTAAGCCCTAAACAGCATCAAGGTCCCCAGCCAAGTCTCCCCTTCTTGACGGCCTTTATATGAGGATCCCTGCCACATCATGTCACAATCCTAAGGGCTTAGGGTTTAGGGTTTAGGGCAATCCTAAGAATGGCACACTTATATAACCACACCCTAGGCCGGCTGTGCTTCATTTTCAGATCCAACAGCCCTCCAGCTGCGGTTCACCTTGACCCCCATGATCTGACGAGATTTCCAGGGCACCGCCTCAGTTCGACAATGACCAATCGAGTCCATGCAAGGATGAACCTTGAACCCTACTTAAAGGATCATGGGACTTAGTAAGTAGGCTTATTTATAACTAAGGTGACTATACTTCTAACCCCAGTTAGGGGACTTATAACCTTACTTACTAAGTCCCATGACCCTCCTCCATAAGCCCACAGCTGTCGAGGAAGTCATAGGCTCATATGGCTTGGTTTAGGGTTTAGGGTTTAGCACCCCAAGGATTGACTCCACTCGACCTTGCACTCTCTTCTACGATCCCGCATTCCTTGAGGGGACGAATATATAGGGGCCTCTACAATTAAACCAGGGTCTTGGATTACCTTGTCGACATGGTCTATAGTTGTTTTGGGGACTATGACGGGACAGAAAGCCCCGTTTTTCTGATCTCCATGTTACAGTTTAGGGCTTAGAGATCACATCGAACGGTCTTCTTCTTCTTCTTCCTCATTATCGTCGTCGTCGTTGGTGTTTAGAGATCCGTTCATGGCAACTTTCATCTGCAGGTTTCAGGGTGCCGGGCTTGAGAAACTTTGCCTTTGACTCACACCGATCCCACTAGGGGCGTTGTTTAGGGTTTGGGGTTTAAGGTTTAGGGTTTAAGTAGGGTTTAGGGTTTAGGGTTTAGGGTTTGAGATTTAGCGCTGAAGGGTTATAGGGTTTGGGTAGGGTTTAGAAACGCTGGATTCGGAATTCCCGGCATGGTTGCATAGAACTGGGAGTAAGTTTTCCAGCTCTTCCGAATAACTACCCCGACGGTTGGGGAGTCTATGTTAGGTTCCCAATTTTCTGGATCTCAGGCTTAAGAAGAAAGTTGGTGAATTAGTATTTTCCTGCGTCCTGCCTGACGACAACAACAGTGTCCATCATCGTGACCCGATTGCCCGAACTCTCTTTTCTAGCCTCATGCACCTCACCTCAACTGCAGCACCTAGTCCCAAAACCCCATCCCGAACCCTGCTCCCCAAGTCATCCGTAGGCTGCTTACCAGGACCACCCAATGGCCCTTTAATAGAGCCCTTATGGTCCCTAATAGTGGGTATTTGGGGTATATTAGAGGGTAGTTGGGGGGTCTAGGTAGAGTCCTAATGAGAATCTGATTGCTGTTGCAAACATGCCTGGGTTGACTGGAGGCAGTACACGAAACGTGAACAAGACTTCTTACAGCCCTAAGTCACACCCGTCTCTATGGAGCCTAAACCCTGAAACGCTGCCTCGGTAACGGATGTGGCGTACTGAGTGGATGCGTGTATTCCTGGAGGTTCGGATCGGGAGCTTTGAAATATAGGGGTTGAGGTTTAGGGTTTAGGGGTTTAGGGTGCAGGGTTTATAATGCGGGGTTCTACTTTTTGTATGCGGGCTAGTGTAAGGGGTTACCGTCATGGGTCTTGTAAGAGTGTAACAACAGCTTGTCTGGGCGGTGGCAGCAGCGGTAGTTTTCTGGGCGGCTGTTGCAGCTGAGGTCGCTACTGGCTTGCCGCTGTTGCTGGTGGCTCGTGGCTGTTGTTTTGTCCTTGAGCTGACGTTTTGTTGTTGGTGCGGTTGCTCCTCTTGGTGCGTGCCCTGTCATTGGGCTCATTAGGCTTCACCATACCACACCAGTTCGGCGTGGGGGCGGGATCTCGCAAGTGAGGTCTGCATGCCCACTGCAGAATATGCAGAGACTCAATACATCCTGCTTCCAGAAGCACTACAGTATCATGCCGAAAGGCCCCCCAATGCCCAAAGTCCTCACTTCCAGGCCGTCAGGCCCAAACCCTAAACTCTAAAGCCCTCCAGGACCACCCAATGGCCCTCTAATAGAGCCCTTATGGTCCCTAATAGTGGGTATTTGGGGTATATTAGAGGGTAGTTGGGGGGTCTAGGCTGAACCCGAAATCCTGAGGTATCGGGTTCTAAACCCCGAAGCCCTCGGTACCTTAAGCTCCCAAACTCCTTGTAAGCCACGTAAAGCAAAATACCCCCCCCCCCCCCTGCAGTTTGGGTTTCGGCAACCCCGAAACTCCCGAGCGCAAACGCTGTCTCCCTTAGGTTTTTGTTTAGGGCTTAGGGTTTGGGGTCAAACCCAAAACCCTGAACCCTAAACCCTGAATGTTCAAGGTTTAGGCTTAGGATTCAAGTTCTTATGGACTTCCCCGAACCCCAAGCCCGGTCGAATCCCTAAAACACTGTAGAAACCTTTAACAACTTAACAACACAAATGGAAGCCAGCTTGACCAACAGCCCTAAACCCTAAAACCCTCAAGCCCTAAATCCAAAAAACCAAAGCCCTACAAACCCTTAACCCTGAGAATCCTAAACCCTAAGACACGAAAGCCCTAACCCTAAAGCCGCAAGCCCTAAACCAAAGAAAAGCCCCCCCCAAGGGGACCTGTCGAGGCCAACACCACATGGAAGTCACAGAAATTTCGCCTTGGTCTCGTTTAGGGTTGAGGGTTCAGGGTTTAGGGATTTAGGGTTTAGGGTTTAAGGATTCCAGCTAGGATTCCTTAGGGTCTAGGGTAAGGAGGTTTAATGTTTTTTTTTTTTCGGATTTTGGTTTAACATAGAGTAATAGAGTGTTTAGGATTTAGGGTAAGGTGGTTTGGGGGTTTGGGGTTCGGACCTTTGTGGGTGCAACGGTAGGGGGTGTAACTGTATAGGGGTGTGGGTGTGTAGGGGTGATGGGGCTGCTAGGGGCAGTAGTGGATATAGGGGAGAAGGGGGGGAGGTGCAGAGGTGTAGACGGGGCAGTCACAGTTTTACTGCCACAGAGGACTGGGGGGGACTCGGCAAGCTCGACGTCATTAGTAGGGCGATAGGTTTTCTAAGTGGGGTTAACGGTTTAGGGTTTAGGGCTTAGGGTTTCGGGTCGAGGGTTAGCCGGAGTACATTTCCGCCTCGAATCCACTTATGAAGTCCCTTGGGACCTCCAGTCTCTAAGCAGGGTTCAAAAACTGAAGTGAAGCCTGAAACCCTGAACCCAAAGTACAAAAAAAACACCCCAAACCCTGAACCTGAATCCACAAGATGCAGGATGCTGCTCCAAGCAGTTCATCTCGTGGTAATGCTGGATCACCAGTATCTGCAATACACGACAAAATTCAATCAACGAACTTCAATCTTTGACGCGTGCAATTTCAGGGCGTGGGCTCTACGGGTTCAGGACTATAGTAAAGAGAATAGGCTTTTGGGTTATGTTCTGATTTTTGGAATGAAGAAACCTTTGAGGACTGTCAGGGGACATTCTTACTAATGGCTTGTCCCGACCCCTATAATATATGAACTCCCGTCCTTGCCTTGACCTGACCGGATCCCTCCACTCTGAAGCTCACTTGCTGCGATCTTCTTCGGCGAACTGTGAGCTGGACCGTGGCGACGGCCGTCGACGTTGAATAATAAAGCTGCCGAGGAAGTATGCCCTTGTTCACCAAGTACTTTATATCTGCTTTGGCGCCCCCGGTGCTCATTGGCTTGCCATCCGCGTCCAGGAGCCCTATCGTGAGGATGCGATCACCCACCTGCACGCACCAACTGTTGTCGGTAACATATTGAATCACAACACAATTAATAAAAACTATTGAGTGTAGAATCGAAATGCAAGTGAAAACCATGTATTTCTTGCTGCCTGCGGCTGCTCTTGCCTTGGCACGCACTCTGCAAATTTGGCGAAACTGGACTGGCTGATGTACCTGAAATGCAGAGTATAGAACCAGAACAAAAAGTACATATGCTCTGTTCGTACATGTGCGAACACTGGCAAGAAGGCAAAACCAGCAGAAGAAACCATCCTCAATCCGGTCCCTAAACGTCCCAACCCCCCTGCCACGCCCCAAGAGAACAACAAAAAACTAAGAGCACACGCACGCAGACAGACACACACTTGCAAACCAGTCATCCTTACCTAGATGGATGCTGTTTGTGCTAGCTGATTACATTGTCTCTGGCAGGTGCGTCGTAGGAACGTCTTCCCACGATATCACAAGCAGACTGCAGCGTTGTCATTGGTGCAAGAATCCAAAATGCTTCTTGCACCCCCTGCAAGAATTGACTCTGCACCTACACCTACATCCTTCGGAACAGGAGTGTCACACACACACACACATAACCGGGAGTACCCAATAAAATTCGTACTGAGCTGGAATGGGCTGTGTGGACGGCAAGCCGCAGGTGCAACAACGTCAGGCGCACTCCCTTGCAGACGTGCCGTAACAACCGCAGCAACAACAACATCACCACCAACAACAACAACGACAACAACACCAACGACGACACCGGAGTCGCCGACGGACGAAAGGCACAAACATCAGAAACACAAGAACGACGACGACGACCAAACGACACAACAGCCAACACCACAACACCTGCACGAGCAACAAAGCCGACGACGAACGAACAGCAACAACACAGCAACACGACGACGACTGTCCTAAGAAAACAGCCAACCTCACAACCCCTACACGCCAAACAAACACGACGACAAACAAACGGCAGCAACACAGCAACACGACGACGACGACTGACCGAAGAAAACAGCCACAACAACACAACCAGCTGCTTCTGAGCTCATACTTGTTTCCCATGTTTGAGAAGGCGCAGGTCCGAGATCTTCGCGTTGTAGTGGCTGGAAATGAAATGATAATTTGCCAAAGCTCAGGACACAAAACGGAGGTTGTGGTACAGGAATGTTAAATGGTTTGATGGTGATGGAACTACTCCTGAGCTCCTAAACCCGGGGTCTTCCAAGGAGATATCCTGCCAGGATGTCATGGTAATGGGCACTCCAGTGGTCAACTGGTAATTGAGGCCTTGTCGTGGGGGTTTCCAGGGTCTGAAGGCTCATAAGTTAGGAAAGACCAGATAAAGTCAAGGTGCTCGGAATATTCCTGGAACCCCCCCGCTGACCGGGAGTCCGACAGCGCTTCGACAGAATTACTGTCGGGCAGACACACTTGCAGACCAGTCATCCTTACCTAGATGGATGCTGTTTGTGCTAGCTGACTACATTGTCTCTTGCAGGTGCGTCGTAGGAACGTCTTCCAACGATATCACAATCAGACTGCAGCGTCTTCATTGGTGCAAGAATCCAGAATGCTTCTTGCACCCCCGGCAAGAATTGACTTTGCACCTACACCTACATCCTTCGGAACAGGAGTGCCGCGCACACACACACACACAAACACACGGAAAAACGCAAACACCCCGAAAAACACGCACACAAACAAACAAACACACACACACAGACACACACACACACACACACACGCACATACACATACACATACACAAATACACAGACACAAACACAAAAGCGAACACACACAAACACACACGAACGACGACCCACAGCAACAAACCAACAAAAACTAAACTATAAACCTTAGACTACACATGCACCATAATGATCAACCCTAAGGCTAAAAGAAAGACTGGGTGCGTGATTGGTACACCTGTCGCCGTGCCAGCACTGACCTGTGGTCCCGGCTACTACAAGGGTTTAGGGTTTAGGGTTTAGGGGGTTATTTTCGGTTTATTCGGATTGAATCGGGCTTCGTAGGCTATGGGGCTGAAGTGATTCCGGGTGCTGTGTTTGCGGCTTTAAACATGCAATGTCTCCGACTGCTCAGGCTCTGAACTTAGTTTAGGGTTAAGGGTTTTGGGTTGCTGAATTCCCCTACCCCTGGGACCCTACTATACCTACTATATACCCTATATATACCCTTAAGGGACCCTAGAATCCCATGTTAGCCCATGTTAGGGGCCTATGGGTTCAACCTTAAATGAATAACTGCAGTAACTCTGTCCTCGACTTAGATCCTGCTAGTAGGGTGTTTTTTATCGGTAGTTTCCGAAAACAGGGTCCGTTTTGGGGTCCTTATAATAAAGAAGGACCCTAATTCGGAGAACTACCTATGTAGATATAGGCATTCTTAGCCATTGGTGTCTCGCGAAAAAATTGTCGAACACATAACGGCAGGTGCATCCACTTGCTTGGTCATTTTGATTCTGCTAATTTCTCATATTCGTATTCCTTATTGCCGTACCGTTATTCAGCTGTCACTGCTAGTTCCATTAGTACTACAAGGGGCCCGGGGACAACAAACACATCATACATGGCTCCAAAAAACAGTGCGGGACCAAAAACCCAAGAACGCATCAACAACCGCCAGACCACTCCTACAACACCAACGATGCGGCAGCCCGCCTCCATACCAAGATGGAACATCTGCTCTGGCTTTTCCGGAGGGAAATCCTGGGCTGGCGTTTAAACCCTCGGAAAAATATTTATATAAAGGGTCCCTTATAAACCCAAATAGGGGAAATAAAAAATGTCCCAAAAACTAACCTAGAATCCTTGATATGAAGCTGGATCTTGATGCACTCAGAGTTGGCATCCGTCAGGACAGGATCCTACCGGGGGCTTTCGGTTTAGGGTTTAGGGGTTAGGGTTTAGGGTTTAGGGCCGGTCAAAACTGTTGCCTTGCATGTCGTGAAATAACAAAGACGTTACAATTGCGTCCTGGTATAAATATAAGTATCGTAACAACGAGGGCAGTCGTGGTAGTGGCAGTAGCAGTACCACTAGCAATGGTAGGTCTACTGCTGCTACGACTTGTGGCAGCAGAGCAGCAGAGCAGCAGCAGCAGCAGC